TAATGCCCTAGAAAAATGTTCTTTCTAATTAACTACAAATTACAACAGAATTCTATCTTTCCACTGACTAAATTGATAAATATTGTTTAACTATACAAGTCAACATTGGAGAGATAATTATATAGTTGATTGAAAACACATCTCTATTCCCTTTTAAAACTGTTCAAAAATAAATCTAAAAAAAAAATATAAATCTATCTGGCTGCAGAAAAGTGAAGAGCTTTGGGCAAGAGATAAGAAAAGTCACAAAATATTAGAAGCCTAGAAAGCAAATGTATGAGTTGAAACTCAAATAACAAAGTAGAAAAATCAAAATTGAAATATCTGTTAGTTGAGGTTGAAGGGGGTTGTAAGGTGAAACATGCCAGCAAACTCCTGAAAGGCTCAGGGACTGGAGGAAGCAGGTAGGAAAACAGGTGGAACTAAAAGCACAGGTGATCGAAAATCTGCCTAGGAGTCAAAAGGAAGTCCTCCTCTTGTTGTGTCCCTACCTTGTGAAGAAGACTTGAAGGCTTATACCCCAGAAAAGGCTGAAAAAGAATGACTCTGGACATGGGGGCCTGAAATATAGTTGAGGACTGAAACCCATATAGTTATAAGGAGAATTAAGTGAATGCCTACATAATGTCTGATGGGTCACTTTTCTCTTACTCCACTGGGCTCCCCAACTTGGCAACCAAGGTTATGTGATGCTCCTCTCCCTTCTTCCCACTCAGGCAGAAGATTTCTCTCTAGGGAAAATGGCAACCCCAAGAGATATGACCTATGAATAGTAACAGGTAAGGGTCCCTAAGATTCCCACTTGATTATAATTGACAAGCCTCGCTCTTATATACTTTGACTAGGTATTTTTTACTGTTTTTCTTATAAATGTGAGTGGATCGTGAAATATGTATGGAAAAAAATAAATTTGAACTTGGTAAAAATAGACACAATATAGCCGGGCATTGTGGTAGGTGCCGGTAGTCCCAGCTACTTGGGAGGCTGAGGCCAAATCCCAAGAGCTGGAAGTTGCTGTGAGCTGTGATGCCACAGCACTCTACCGAGGGTAACAAAGTGAGACTCTGTTGCTAACCCCACCCCCCTCCAAAACTAGACACAATGCAGGAACAGAAGAAACTTTAAACACTATTATAAATATCCTTAGAGATCGGAAAATACTGCATATTTAAAACAAGAATGGGTTCTTATAAAAAAAATGGCCTTTTGGAGAATAAAGTGTTCTTGGAAATTAAAAATTGTAGCACTAACAAAATCCAACAAAATCACTGAAGGACAAAAGTTCAGGAAATCCTTTAGAAACTAGAAAAAACAGACAGCTATGAAAGCAGAGAAAAATAAGAAGATGAAAGATGATTTCAAGAGATTCAATATCCAAGTAAGATGAATTCTGGAAAAAGACAATACAAAAAGGAGATGGGTAAACTTAACAAATTTTTTTCTCTAAATTGAAGAAAGTTTCTCAACTAAAAGAATCCACTGATTACTCAGATTAATGAATGGAAAAATTAATGCATATCAGTATTGAGTTTTAGGAGACTACAGAGAAAGAAAAGATCCTAACAGTTTTCATGAGAAATATGTCACATAGAAAAAAATCAAGAATGAAATTACTTCACATTTCTTAAAGACAACACTAGAAACTAGAAGATAATAGAACACAACCTTTAATCCCTCCTCAGTAAAATAATTACCCACCCAGAATTCTATACAGCTAATCTATAAATTAAATATGAAGATAGACTAAAGACATTTTTTAGAGGTCTGACTTAAAAAATCATTGCCTCTTGCAGTCCTTGTCAGTAAGCTATTGAAGGACACATTTCAGTAAGATGAAGGAGTATAAACCAAAAAGAGAATAACATGTGGACTAGAAAAAGGGTATGCTATAGCACAGTAAGGAAGTGAATAAATTTTTCAGAGTGATGAATAAGAATGTATCAGGATGAAATCACTACAAAGCTTAGAAAATAAGCAAGTTATACTAGAGCAAGATTTCACGGAGGGCTACAGGAGGGACATCTTAAAAAAAATAAAAAAGAAAGAAAAAATAAAGGGAAAAAAAGCAAAAAAAAAATTGAAAAAATGAAGAGATATCATGGTAGAATTATTGTTGTACTGATGTGTCTGAATACATTCAGAGGAATTATACTTTCTGAACAGAAGAATGTAAGGTGCATAAGATCAAAAGTTTTGTCTGTTTTGTGCACTGCTATATACCCCAAAGTCTAGAATAATAGCTAACACATGGTGGGAAACTTTACGAATATTTGAATGCAAAAATACATATATAAATGAGTACATAGAAAATTAAACAAGGTATTTTTATTTTATTAAAAAATTTAAATTGACCAACACTATGTATTTATGATATACAACATGATGTTTTGATATTCCGTATATATTTATTGTGAAATGATTAAATCAAGCTAGTTAACATATCCATCACCTCACAGAATTATTTTTTATGTGTGTGGTGTGAAGATTTATGATCTATTCTTTTAGAAACTTTCAAGTATATAATACATTATTGTTGATACATAATATATATCCAAAACTTATTTATGCTAACTGGTATATTATATTCTTGAGCAACATGTCCCTATTTTCCCCGCTCTGGACCCCAATTCCTGGCATCTACCATTCTACTCTCCACTTCTGACTTTGGCCTTTTAAGATTCCATGTGTAAGTGAGATCATGCAGTATTTGTCTTTCTGTGCCAAATAAGACATTTTTAAACTACAGAGAAAATAATTTCTTATACAAAGATCAAGTTTAATAATAGTAAAGTTCATGGGTCAGCTGTATATACAATATTTACAATCTTTATATTGAAGAAGACGGAAGGAAATAGCAAGTGTGTGTATAAGTTATTAGAGAGATAGAGGGAAGGGATGAGGGAGGAGAGGGAAGAAGGAAAGGAAGAAAGGTAAATAGAGGGAAGGGAAACAAAAGAGAGGAAGAAGGACAGAGAAAATAGATAGTAATAGAAATCATCATCTTTCATCTTTCATAATCATCAAAAAGTTAATTCTTAATGACTACATAAGTCTGTTATTCAGAAATGTAGACATAAATACTGGAAGGAACAGGTAAAAAGGAAACGTTTAAAACTGAGCACCTAATCCTGCCCCAGTTCCAGGTGAGATCCTGCCATTCCAGGCTTGAGGCCTATCCCAGGTTTTAGACCAGCCCTGGGCCAGGTCAGTCCACATAGCTATAGGGTTTAGGCCCAGCTCAGGTTGGCATCCCCTACCTAAGGCACCAGGACTACTCAGTACCAGGCTGGTCTCAATGGCCACATCCTTCAGCCGAGCCTAGGTCCAGGACTGTCCCAGTAGAACCCAGTGTTGGGCTGGCCCCAAAAGACCCAAGATTGAGGACCTAGGTTTGAGGCTACCCCTTTTGTCCTACTTCTCAGGCTAGCTATTGTGGACCCAGCTTCCAGACCAATCACATAATCAGCCTCCACAGACCAAAGATCCAGGCCTAACCTCAGGGCCTTATATTTGAGGCTAGGCACCACGGCTCTAGGCACCAGGCCAGCATCTATGATTCTAAGCTCTAGGTTGGCCTCCACAAACCTGGGCTCCATGTCTGCCTCAGCACCAGGCCAGTCCTAGGACCAAGTAAACCACTGAACCCAGGACCAAGGCCTACCCCAGTAGACCCCAGTCCCAGGCAGATCCCCATAGATCAAGGCTCCAGGCCAATAGACTGAAGCAACTCAGTTAAGATTAAAATAACTCAATAGCCATTTTCACTGCCACTTACTCCAGGGAGATGGAGTTTGGAGTTTGAATTCAGTTAAAGATAACTGCCTACTAACACGAAACAGTCAATACTGCTCAGAAATATATCACTAGGTTCTAAGGTCATTCACAATGACAACGATATAATCCTAAATTACCAGACATACAAAGAAATAAGAAAACATGAGCAATAATAGAAACTTAATCAATGGAGATGAACCCAGAGATGACCCAACTATGAGAATTAGTAAACACTTAAAGTAGTTATTAAAATCATATTCAAAATATAAAGAACAGTATGCTCATGAAGAATAAAATATGAAATCTCTTCAGAGAAATAGAAATTATAACAAAGACCCAAATGGAAATTCCAGAAGTAAAAATTGTAATGGTTGGGAAAAAAAATTACTATAGGGTCTTAACTATAGATTGAAAATACCTATGGTCCATCTTACAAGGGTACATGTGAGTCTTTCTAAATGCAGAATATCACAATAACTAAGAAAATGCCATGAAGGCTGTGTTAACCAGTTTGATGAAAATATTTCAGATTGTATATAAAACCAGCACACTGTACCCCATGACTGAATTAATGTACACAGCTATGATTTAATAAAGAAAAAGAATAAAATAAAATTTATTGAGAGAAATATTCTTCAAGACATAATTTATAATAGAAAAACCCTACATTATCTACCCTACATTATCTAATAACAGCTAATAGATAAATATTGGGGCATCACTGTCACACAATAAATATTTTTAGAATAAGTTAAGTAGTATGTTTTTATGAAGTATTTTATAAGATCAGAAAATACAATCCAGTGAAAAACGTAACAAATAAAATCTGATAAAAGCATAATCTCTATTATCAATATAGACTATAATATCATACAAAGGAAAGTAGGAGAAAAACCTTCAAAGGATTGTATCTGAGATTTAGGATTATGAGGAATATTGATGATTTTTCTTTTCTTTTAAAGTATAAGTGAGATTTATTTGGAAACTATAGAAAATTAAACAGTCTACTCCATGGACAAAGCACAGGTAAATTCTTCCTGTAGAAAAGAGCCACTCATTTTTATTTTCTTTTTTACACTTTTCTATATTTTCCAAAAATTTATAATGAGAATGTGTTTATTCATCTGGCCAGAAAACTGTATAAAGCAATATAGAGGTATATAGTTATGCCAGATACATGTTAAATATGTCCTTAATATTCTTGCCTCCCCACTTTTTAGGTTTACCTTGGTACAGAGTCATTCCCATTCATATCCAGATTGAATTCTTGGACGTTTGTAAGCTCTTTGTCAGTAACCAGTTCTCTTGATTTAAACACAGCTTGAGTTCTTAACCTGTAAAAATAAATGAAAAGAATTTCTAATCCTCTGGAGCCTGATAAACTGAGTGGTAATCCTTAGAAAAACATGTTCTTTCAGGTAGATCCACAGGAAGTTTTTCAAAATTAAAATTCAACTACCAAAACTAAATAGGTAATTCCCAAGTATACAAATAAATACAAATTTGTTCCATAGAAATTTAAATTTTCAGTTTGGGAATCTAGGGTGGGCAGATCGCCTGAGCTCACAAGTTAGAGGCCAGCCTGAGCTAGAGCAAAACCCCATCTCTAAAAATAGCCACGCATTGTGGTGGGTACCTGTAGTCGCTGCTGCTTGGGAAGCTGAGTCAACAGAATGCTTGAACCCAAGAGTTTGAAGTTGCTGTGAGCTATGATGATTAAGTTGGTTAGAATACCACGTAAAAACTCAAAATAATAGATACTTTAGTAGGAGCACTTTAAATCTCTTCTCTAGAAAGTTAAATCTTCCCTCTGCATCAAGTATCTTTTGATCACAAAAGTTTAAATGGGAATTCTAGGAACTCTAAGTATGCTTAGCTTGACCAACATTTACAAAGGAGTCATCCACTACACATACTGACATTTAAAAGAGCTAGCTAGGGGTACAGCTCTGTAATCAACATATTTTCCTCTGGGTTACAGATAGATCTTTCTAAAATAATTGGAAGACATTTTCTTGATCGATGCTAGCTTAAACCCACACTCACATTACTGAGGAGGTTAGGCCAATTAAGAAGGCAGCACAAAGGTCTGCTACAAGGAATGTGGGTATCAATCACTGGTACCAAATATGTGATACTATGTACTGTCTCAGTTTTTTAGAAATGTTCTCTGGTTATCTGTAAAAAGTATATTCTTCAACTATGAGATCAACCATGAAGCAATAAAAACATTATTAACATATTAACAATTCTCATTATTGATAAAAGACATTCTTGTAATTTCACCTATGCATAGTGATGTATAATGAGAAGTATATAGATTAATTACCTCCAGGAACTTACAGTTTAAGACTAATTGGTAGTGACACATAGGTAGGTAGGTAAATGCAGATGCAAAATTCTAAAATAAGGCAATTATAAAAACAGTATGCACAGTGATAGTAGTCAGAGTAGCCTCTGCAGCATTACATTAGTAGAAATAATGATGACGTGAATGACAGCAACTACCATAAAGATGTATTTTACATATACTATTGTATTGATCCTCACAAGAGTTCAATGAAATGGTTACTTTCACTATATGCATTTACAGATATGCGAAGTGACAGCAAAGGCACAGAACTCTCTCAAGGAGACATAGTTTTTAGTGGTGAAAGCAGTATGTTTAAAACCACAGTTAAGTATAGAGTACATATAGTAAGGCATAGTGTAAGAGCGGGAGACAAAAGCAGATATTTTTAATTAGCCTTGATTTTTATTCATTACATATATACTACTTTGCTCCAGAAAGGATTTTAAGGTGATTACTGGTACTGTCATAAATAGTAATCTGGATAAATTCTCTACAATCAATCTTAAAGGTTTTCACAAAGGTAATATCTTTTTCAAAGTTCTTATTGACTACTATGTAAGAGCAAGATAGTAGAATGAATTGTTAATCACGATTTAAGTAAATGTCAATGTCATGTCAAATCTATTTCAAAGTGACAGGCTCATCCTCAAATTCTGAACTACTATTAACAATTCTGAGCTAACTCATTTGGCATACAATTACAGGTTGCCTTCCCAATATTTCTCTTGAGCATTCTGAGCACTATAAACAATTTCTCCTGTATAGTAGATATTGAATCATTGTTTAACTGAGGTGAGATTCCTTGGGCCATTTAAACACAAGTTCACGAAAGATATATAAAGTTAAAATTATACATAAATTAGAGAGTGAGATTATGTATCATACACAGAGAAACAAGATTAAATCTTGTTCATTTTGGTATTCCATATGCTCATTTTGTGCAGAGTAGGGGGCTTAGGAAATGTTTTCTGACACAAAGAGAATGAAACTGAAATATACTTGTTAAACACGCAGGTGCTAATTTTGCATTTATTCTATAATGTAAAATGGAGTTAGGTGAAAAAGAGACTAGACCTAAAAATTTTAAGTAGTGAGATTTTAACTATGTTGTAATGAACAGATAGATACAGACAAATGGAAAAGTAGAGCAGATATTTAAATCAGAGAAAAATGAAACATTTTTTTTCCTAACCTGAGGAAAAAATATCAATGACATATTGAAAAGATTTCAAGGAAACAAACTTGCCTTTAGAAAAAATCATATCTTAGGATAAGTGGGGCAAATAAGTAGAGAGGTGAGTCTAGATTATAAAATACTTTGAATAGTAACTTAAATAAACATAATTGAATAAAAAATTATCAGGGGTTTTTGAAATTCAAAGGTAGCAAAATAAAAGCAATGTCTTAGGTGGATGCATCTGAGATAGTCTTGGTACATGATACTAAGGTGTAGAAGTTGGATTTGAAATAATCTTCATAAGTGATAAAATTACATAAATCCAAAAAGCAGGCCAAAAAATAGCGTAACTTTTAGCCTACAAATATGAATTCTGATACTAATTAGTCAAATGGATACATCTGGGCCTCTAGCTTTAGGCTGTATCAGATAGCTATGATAAATCTCAGTGGAAGTAAGCAGGAGAATGAGAGATGAATCAATAAATTGTGGTATACGTACACCATGGAATACTATGCAGCCATTAAGAAAGACAAGAGACTTTATCTCCTTCATGTTTGCATGGATGGAGCTGGAAAATATTCTTCTTAGCAAAGTATCCCAAGAATGGAAGAAAAAGTATCCAATGTACTCAGCCCTACTATGAAACTAATTTATAGTTTTCATAGGAAAGCTATAGCCCAATTTTAGCCCAGGAACATGGGGAGAGGGGAGAGGGAGGGGAGGAGAGGGGGGAGGATGTGTGGAGGGAGGGTGATTGGGAGGATCACGCCTATGGTTCCTCCTATAAGGGTACATGTGAATCTCTCTAAATGTAGAATATAAATGTCTTAACATAATAACTAAGAAAAAGACATGAAGGCTATGTTAACCAGTTGGATGAAAGTACTCCAGATTGTATACAGAAACAGTACACTGTACCCCATGATAGTATTAATGTACACTGTTATGATTTAATAAAGAAAAAAAATAAAAAATAAAAAAAATGTCTTTAGTCTATTTATCTAGGCATCTCACTTGGATTTTTTACCATCTTGATTAGGGAGAATTTTAAGACAAAAACTATACATGGATGAATAAAATGGCAGAACTGTGCCTGAGACTTACAAGAACTTGCTTTGAAAGATTACTGAAGTACCAGAAACCAGTCTGACCAAGTCTAAAGATGGCCACTGCTATAGCTGGGCAGTGTCTGATGGTTCAGAGCTATTCAGTTCACAAGAAGATTAACGATGACCCAAAGTAAAACACTGTGGCTCCTAAAGCAAGAAAGAAAATAACTCCTTTGAAAAGTAATACCTATCTATCCAGGAGACTGCATTAAAGTCAAATGACAACCTCTTTCAAGAAGGAGAATTGTATAAACAAAACATGAACACTGTCAGTTTAAAAAGAAAATTAGCATAAAGACATTAGGGTCTGAGAAAAAGCTTCAGCTATCACAGGTTTGTTGTTTTACAGATGGTATAAACTTTTAGAGTTTAAAAAAATATGACAAATTTCAAGGGTAATGACAGAACACAGGTATTCTTTGCCTAGTACTAGACTTACATTGTGGACATTCCTGGTAGGTGACTTTGCTCAGTGAAATAATTTTGTTCAATCTATAAAAGTCCAACATTTGCATCAAAAGTAATAAAATATAACTCAATAACATTTTCACATAGGTTAGTATATGAATGAAATAGGAAAAAAACTAGAAATCATTAGACCTATTGAACTTTTATATCTTTATTTGTTTTCCATTAGTTATTAGAATCTCTAAGAACTTCTAGTTCTGGGACAAGATGAAATAGATGCACTTCTCTCTCTTCCTGCAGAGACAAAAATCCTAGACCTTCTACTTGAAACATACATAAGAAGACTGTACAAGGTGGGAAAAGAAGGTGAACTGAGGCCAGAGAAACAGCAAGATGGTAAGTTTCCTGGGCTTTGTTTTTGCCTCAGACACCTTGAATGTTGCAGAAACTGCCCACTTAGAAACACCAAAGACACAGAGAAAAAAAAGCCTGTTGTGTCTAACAAAAGAATCAGGAAAGGAACAGTCTACCATGATAGCCAAAGATTATGAGAAAAGCTGTGCCCTCACTTATCCAATTCCTACCATGAAGGGCCCAGTGGGAGGTGTGACTTCCATTCTCCACTGCCCCAGTGTCTCACATAATAAACTGAAAATGTCCAGAATGTAATTAAAATATCACTCGTCATACTGAGAATGATGATAATCTCAACTTGAATGAGATGATTCGAACAGAAGCCAACACCAACATGATAGAAATGTTGGAGTTACCAGCATAAAAGGGCTTCAAAGAGCATTTATGAATATGCTTGAAACAAGTGAAAAGAATAGAAAGTCTTTGAAAATAAAGAAAAGACATAAAGGAGAACCAAATGGAAATTTTAGTTCTGAAAAACAGTCATCTAAGGTAACTGAAAAATACAACATGGAAAATTTTAAAAACTCAGTGGATTGGTTCAACAACAGAGTACAGAGGACAGAGGAAATAATCAGAAACAACCTGAACTATAGAGAGAAACAGACTGAACAACACCAATAAAACCTGGACAGTCTTAAGGATATGTGGGACAAAAGATCATATATTTATGTCATTGGATACTTGGAAGACGGTATGGGGTTTTAAAAGTATTAGAGATAAAATGACTGAACACTTGCCAAATTAGAAAGAGATATGAAACTACAATTCAGGAAGCTGATCAAAGTTCAAACACGATAAAGAATCCATGCTAAGACATATCATAGTTGAACTTCTGAAAATTGAAGAGAGTACGGCAAAAGAGAAATA